GCTGAACCCCTGGCTCTGCTCAGGAAGGTACAGGACCTTTCAAAAATCCCTGCTTGGGGCTTTGGCCAGGCGTTGTCTGTAGGCTCCTGTGGCGTGCAGCAGGCTGCTGAATCCCAGCTTTTAATACAGGTCAGTCCAGAGCCCCACTGCCAGCTAAAGGAGGAAAAGGTAATTGTAATTCTGGTCTGGTCAAGGTAAGTCTGGTAAAGGTAATTGTACTTCTGGTATCAGGTAAAATTTAGGAGACATTGGTCAAGGAAGTCTGGGATGGTTTTGGCTATTAACATGGTACGAACTTGGAATGAACAAGCTGGAGTCAGGGACTGGGGTGAAGTCACCTGCAACCACCCCAGCAAGGATTGGCGTTAACTTGGCTGCAAGGGCAAGGGGTGGAGGTTCAATCCTGGATTTCCAGTCACACCCTCCCCTTCCCTGTCTCTGGCTCCAGTACAAACTTCCAGTCTCAATCAGCACAGTGGGCTCAGGACAGATGTTGTGGCCTGGAGGGGCCCTTGTGTGTTTTGCTGCTTTTCCTTTGAGCCTTTAGTTATCATGGGGCTGGAGGGTCAGCCCAGCAGCAGAGACTTCGAGCTGGCAGCTGGGCAGCATAAGCCCTTTTGTCTTTCCTTTGTCTCCTTGAATGAGTTTCACCTCTTGCCTGAAAGGGAGATATCTTGCAAGTGTCCACTGGAGTACAACCAGAACACAGAGTCCCCGTGCGAGGTGTGCGAGTGGTCGTGTTTGGTGCATCCAGCTGCACCAGCTCGCGAGTAAAGGTGCGAGGGCAGAGTAGCTATGTCCACACTTGGGCATCAGCAAACGTTTGTGTGCCTGTTAACCTAGAGAGGCATGTGTGTGCTCTCACCAGTGCATGTACAGCTCTACCAGCCAGAGAGGAGGAGGAGACTTGGCTGCCTGTGTTTGTGTTACATGTGGGTGCTGTTGAAGGCCACACCTTGCCTGTGGCGTTTGTGGGACCAGCTGTGTCACTGTCCTCTGTGTGTGTGTGTGTCCTGTGTCTGTATCTCTGGGATTTGTGCTCAGCTCTGCTACTGGGTGACCCTGCAGCAGAGAAGCAGCAGCCACATCCCCCAGCCTGAACAGGGAGCCCAGGTCCGGGGCTGGGCTCCAGCAGCTGGACAGGAGGGTCCGGGGCTGGGGCTGCTGGAGGAGGCGGCTCTTCTAACATGCCTTAACAGTTCTGTAGCCAGCAAGATGTGGTTGGGTTGTGAGTACTTCTGAGATTAAATTTATATAATCCTTACATGATGGGGGACCCATCCTTTGCTAATGCACCTACAAAAATAAGGGGACCTGTGCTAATAAATCCTCAGTTTACTGGGAACAACTGGATTGGAAGTAGGGTGAGAACAAAGGAAAAAGAAAAAAAGTGTTTATAGAACATTAGAAGAACAATAGTAGGTGTAAATTGAAGCTGAAGGCCTAGAGTTTGTAGTTTGGGGGATGAAAGAGGTTTACCAGAGGTACAAGACTTCCTCCTATAAGTAACAGATTACTCCCAACTATCAAACAGATCAATGGTGTTGTCTATAAAGTAGGAGGGAACCTGAGAGAATCAGGCTATGGCTGACCTTTACACCTGGAACTTCCAAAATTGTGAAGAATGATGCAGAAAGAGAAATGTAGTTGCAAGGGAATAGCCTCAATTTACAGAAATTTAAACTGGATAAAGCCAACTAGCAGAACTGAGTAGCACAGAGGAAATCTGTGAATTACAGGGGAACAAATATCCCTTCACTCTGCAAATAATGTACCTAGTGGAAATGTGAATCTCCTGTGGCTGCAGTCATTAGACAACTTAAGAGTGGCTTGGTAGGACAATCCAGGACCCACCAGTATGATTGCTAGTGGCACAAGAAGTTCATGTGTCCAAGGATGAACAGATAAATACTTTATTTTTGAAACTTTCTCCTCTCCTAGTGACCTGGAACACTCTGGAGGTCCTTAAAAGATTCTGCCCTTAAAAGCAACACCAATTCAGGCACGGGGGATGGGCCAGATGACAATTCTTACTGCCAATCTGCATGGCTCCCCCTGCCCTTGAATTTAAACTGCTACAAGTGGCAGCAGCACTCAAGAGGCAAAAGGCAAGGGGAGTGTCTCTGGTGGGGAAGGAGCTTAGATAACATTCAGCCTGGTCAAAATGATATTCTGGTTATTCTACAACAAGTAAAATTTGGCATCTACACAAAGTGCAAGCTGAGGTATGTGAAGATCAAACTTCACATCTGAAAGCTGGACTTAGTCCAGCTTAACACAACTACCAGTGCCTCTTCAAGGAACTATGATCACTGATAAACCTCACTAAGCAATGAAAGAAATCAAGAGTGGTAGTAGTTCATCTGTGTTTCTGAACAGTTAGAAAACTAAAACTTCTCTAAAAGTAGTCTACCTGTTATCAAAAATACTTCTTTTTTCCAATACTTCCTGTTCCACAGATATTTTACTGTAGTAGCCAGGAATGGTAGGTTTTTTTACTACTATTAAAAGGCCAGAGATTCCATTGGAACCATCTAGTTAATCTCATTTCAGAGCATGCCAGAAAACTTTCCTAAATAAAATCTTTATTCAAGTAACACAGTTATGCTTGACGTACAGCACCAGATAATTCACATACTTCCAGCAACAGAGACAATCACAACCCTTGTTACTTGTAATGATTCACTTTCTGTGAAAAGGGTTGGTTTTTTGCTTGTTTTGCTTTTAAATTGTCTATATTGAGCTTTTTTCAAAATAAAATTCTTCAGATCAACATATAAATGAGAAGCCTGCCTTACAGATAAACCAGAAACCCAACTCATTTTCTTTTCACCAAGGAACTGTATAGAGCATTGACTTGCCCCCATCCCCAAACTGCTTGTGCCCTCTGGGATGGCAGTTATGGAGACTCTGGCATTGCACTGTTAGCTAGAGACTGGACATCATGCAGCACTATGCTTGAGCTAACATCATCACAGCACCTAGTCCAGAGCGATGTGACATGTGGCTAGCTCAGAATGCTTGCAGAGCAAGCTCGAGTTTGCCAGGCAGACTGTGTAGACATACCTTCACATATCTAAAGATCTTGTTATTCCTTAGAGTTAGTTCTGCTCTAGAAACATATCTTCCTTTGATTATATGTTCTGGGACCCTTATCTGCTCTAATTTTTTTTCCCCTCTAAGTTTAAATATATGGATTCTTTTTTTCCATCTGAGCCTGACTAAATTCTGAAAACCCAGGTTTTTCAGACACATTCTTTAATTTAAGTACACTGTCAGTCAGACTTTAGACAACTCACAGGACTTGCTATACATATACAGACTATAAATTTAAGTACAAGCAGTTCCCTAAATTCTGTGACACTTGCTTTCCCTAGTTTAGGAACAAGAAAATAAAGCACACTTCTTTTCAATAGCACCACAGACTTGCATGCAGCTAACTGAAAACACACCAATGAAAGACTGAAAACGGGCACTGAACCATTGCAATGAAATGCCATTTACAAAACAAGAGCAAACAATGCCAACATTGAAAGAGAGACTACGTGGAAAAGGAAGTTCTAGAAGTCAACAGCTCTGACATTCACTGCATTCTTTCATGCATGCAGACAATTTTATAACCCAGATTATTAAGCAGAGGATAAGATTTATTGTTTAAAAGGCCAATATCATTGCTTTCTAGACAATATTTATGAGAGGTCTCACTGGAATGGAATATGGCATAAATATCACACGGACAGCAAATGCCTACTTTTCTAAGTTTTTAAGGAAACATAGTTCTGAATTTTAATTTCTTTGTAAGTTTTTATAAAGTTTTCATTGAGTTCTTTGGTACTATCAGATGTAGTTCTTCTGTAAATTTAGTCTGTACATTTCAACTGAGGTTGAACTATAACAACAGAATTAAGCAGACAACATCTATTTTTTTTCCTAGCTAGATGAATGCACAAGCCCTAGACATGGATATAGTGCTTGTAGCTGACCCTGTAACAGACTACCTCAACATAAAAACAGGTGAACATAAAGCTGTCATTAGCTCTGTCTCAGTTGTGGTCCCATGAGTTTAAATCTCGATGTTGTAAACAAGACTGACGGAAGTGTGCATACTTACCAGCAACTGGCTGACATGGTACCTATCCAAGTATAAGCTGGAATAAAGTAATTGGTTACGTTTCTGAAGGCAACAAGCAAATCCAGTAAGTGCTGATTTTTATTTATTTATTTTAGAGCATTGGTGGTGTTTGCAGCTTTTAAGGAGGCTCTCAGCTCAGGGGGTGTGGGAAGAAATCTATGCAGTTCAGATTTATTTTATCTCTGTTTAGAATAGACAGTGGGTACAAACCTGTCTTCTTCGGCCACAAGCCCAAGCATCTCCACGTTTTTCCACATTTTGCAAGCTGTTCAGACCTAGAAGAAAATTAATATACACCGAGACCAATGAGGAGCCAACATTAAAGCAGCAGTTTTGCTTTCTACCATTTACATGAGACAAGAATGTACACTATTTTGATATGCTTTGACAGATTGGGATAATTTCAGTGTCTGTTTATATATTAATATACTTTTAGATATTTATACACATGAGCCTCACCTTAGTCCAAAGACTCAAAAAAATAGTCTGTTCAAAAAAGTCACTTTATTTTCTACGCAATAAAGCTCATAGAAGAATTATATTTTAACCAAATAGGTAAAAATTGGTACATAATAATAAAACATTGTTACTTTATGTTGGTAAAAATATTTTTAATATATATACTGCTCTCCTTTTACACAGAGAGGATTGAAATAAACCAGCCATCAGAGCTATGATACTTTGTATACAGGTTCCATCATTTACTGTCAGGTTCTAACTGTGGCCAACATCCAAGGCATCTTAAAGAGTTTGTCCTTCCAAGTACAACATGGTCACATGCAGAGACTGTATCATCATCTCTCTGTGGTAAGAAGGTGCTAATGGCTTTAAAAAAATCTCATTATAAGTATTATATAACCCATGTTGTAAGTTTTAAAAAATACCAAGAAGATGTGTAAACGTCCTAACTTGGCGCATTTTACACTATGATTAGTTTTTCCTGTCAGCCAGCCTCTTTATTCTTCCCATCCAAAGTTATCTAGGTCCAAAGCCAGAAAGACAAGTTTCAGTACTCCTGTGGCACCTTTCCTCTGCACAAATACCATCAATCCTAGAAAAGCAAGTAAGCAAACAAAAACTGAAGTAGAAAATTGTGAATGATTTTGCATTTCATAGTTTCCTAAATGTGGCAAACCCCAAATCTCCATTTGTGCAGGAACCACACACAACAATTGGGAGGGTTTTTTCCACCATAATCACTTTTATATTAATCCAATCATATTGAACAGCAGTTATCAAAACACCAGCCCTTTTTTGGGGGGGGCGGGGCAGAAGTGTTTGACATGACTTTGTTTTGAAAGTGTAAAAATAAGGTAATGCTCACTCTGAGGAACATTGCTCGCTCTGTGTTTCCGTCTTGAATGAGGCCTGCAAGGAACACAGAACTTCAGTAAAAAATACACAGCACAGAACTTAATGAAGTGTCTATGACCAAGAGCAACAGCAACAAAAAATAATTTTTACCTTACTGTTGGGTTTTTTATGACTCCAGGTGACCAATTTGTAATACTCTCTTGCTTTTTCATTAATCTAAAAAAAACAAAAACAAAAACGAAAAAAACACAAACCAAAACCCCTAAAAAAATATTTCCTAGGCAGCAACTTAGCATTTAAGTGAACCAACAATATTTAAATGAAAGAAAATTCCAAGATTTCTCTATGGAAACATTGGCATACAAACACTAACTGCTACATCATTTGTTCACAATTCTACCATTAGCCAATACTAAGGCCTTAAAAAACACAGAACTTCCACATGTTAAACAACTCCTTCCTCTCCAAAACCCTCTTAACCTTGTCTCCCTGTACCTGGAGGAGAAATATACAAGACCTTCTGCATTTAAGTTGAAGACATGAGGCATTTCAGACATCTATTTTTTCATATCTAGCTTCTTCACAGTCTAGTAATTGTTTCCATAGGTTTTTTTATACCTCCCTCGGATGTAATTGTTTCAGAAGCTGTCCTAAAAAAAAAAATCTTAGGATTTGTCTTCCTGTATACTCTGTCTGCATCAGTCAATTTCCTTAACTAAATGATGCCAAGTATTCAAAGTATAAAACTGCAGAAACACAAGCTCTATCCTGACCAAAGACTACAATTTCTCCATGAAAAACAACTGGTGATAAACTTAAAATGCCCATATTTTTCAAAATAAAGTCAAAGGAAGGGGAAAGGAACCTGGCTTCAAGTTCCACCAGCACTTCTTAGAAAAGTGACAGGGTCATGAGTCACAATGCCAGAGTCATGAAGCAACATAACTATTTTCCATAATATTAGTATCACTAACTAAGTGAATCTTGTGTTTAGCTGTAAGGAAAAATGTAATGGACAAATTCCCTTTACTTATCCTCTTCCTTCTCCAGATGACCTACAGCCTAAAATTAGGGAAGGCAGGACTAAAAGGAGCTCAAACAAGCATAGAGAAAAGAAATAGTGAAGTATTTATGTTTTCATTGTTATACAAGACTGACAGCTGTTTAAACTGAAAAACATGTATCTTCAACAAGTACTTAAACTTAATGCCGAGCTATCTGATATAAATGCCAAGAGTAACAACCATAGAAAAGCCAAAACTTAAAAATACAGTAGGTGCTTATGGTTTATTTTCTATTGGACAGCAGTTTGCAATTTAACATCCTTCCTTCAACCTACTCTTAGTTCTACAAGTTTCAAGTTACTATCCAAGCATGTCCCTCAGCAGTATAATGCTGAATACAAACCTTTGTTTTGATTCCAAATTATTTTCGTCATTTTCATTGACATTCACATTTTCGTTTTGCAGTGCTGTTGCTCCCAGTCCTTTAGACTCCACCTGTTTTGTGGCTGCCTGTGAGAAATGGAATTGATACTTTAAACTTAAAGCCAGACAGTAGCCAGATAGTTTACACTAAGACTAGTATGTATACTTTCTATTAGGACTAACTGTGCTTATTTCACAGACCCTTCAGAGGTTCTACTATTAAAATAGTTTCGAAAGAACTGCAGTGTGTTAAGTTGAAATCTATCAAGACTGCAAATAGCATCAAAGTACTACAAAGTCTGGTTTTTATAGCTAGATTAGAAACTGAAAACTGACAGGCCTCACAAGTTCATCTAGTTCCGTAGCACATGGCAGGACCAAGAATACCTGTAACACTTTCAAAAGATGTCTAATCAGACTTCATGCTTGTAAAGTAACCTTTCCTGTATTAGCAAAATAATTTTGTAACATCCTGCCTAAACTTTTAGCCACAAACTAAGATTATTTCTCTTTCATTGCAAAGAGGATGCCAAGAAGAGGACAGAAGAATTCCTTACTCTCTATAGAGTGTCTAGAGGATCGTAAGATTTATACTTTTCCCAAGATTCCTCCCATTTACTTGCTATAATAAATAACATCTTAAAAAAAACCCCCAAACCAGTCCACATGAGGTCATTCTTGCCACTTTTCTATCATCTTATTTCTCTAGCATCTTACAACATACTCGCTGCCCAAACTATACAAAAATTCCTGTTGTGCACCATCATTACCAAGTAGAGCCAACCACCTTCCATCCAAAAGTCTATATATCCCAAAAGGTGATCTGTTTTGCAACACTCAAATATCAAAATGATTCAAAGTTGACAAATTAAGTACAGGCCCAATATTAATTCTTTTTTCTGCTTAGTCAGTTGCTCTCACTTTTCATCTGTTTCTTCTTTCAGGGCTTGTTTCTGCCTCCTGGTTATTTTTTGTCATCCATCCAATTTTCAGTCTTCTTGAAATCTTAACCTGTAGCTTGCAGAATCTCTCAACGTTTAAAAGAGCCAGCTGCTATAAAAGCATTCTGTTTCACTCATTGATCCATGAAAATACTGGAAGGTATTCTGGTCACAGAATACATCCAATCACAGAAGAAAACGTTTCACTGTTATGGTTTCATAGCTACCCAACCTACCACATCTTTCAGCTGTAAGTCTTCAAAATACCGTCTCTTTTACAGTGGTTGATGGTAGCAAAAGCCACGTGAAAGTGAGGATATGTTTCCATACAGATAAGTGTCTAGAAAGGATTTAGTTAAAATACTTAAATCCATTATATTTTATTTTAAAAGTTAGCAGTTGCTTTCAATTGTACTTGTCTTTAATAATAATTCTTTTGAAAGAGAAATTAAAGTTATAAAGAAAAATTAGGAAGTATTTGTATCAATGCTTTCTTAGTATAGGTCCTTTTTCCTTGTAATGCATTATCTGCAGAATGTCCTGGTTTCAGCTGGGACAGAGTTAATTTACTTACTAGTAGTTGGTATAATACTGTGTTTTGGATTTAGGATGAGAAAGATGTTGATAACACACTGATGTTCTAGCTGTTGCTGAGCAGCGCTTACACTAAGTCAAGGACTTTCCAGCTTCTTATACCACCCCACCAGCAAGTAGGCTGGAGATGCACAAGAAGCTGGGAGGGGACACAGCCAGGACAGCTGCCCCAACTGACCAAAGGGATATTCCATACCATATGCTGTCATGCTCAGCAATAAAAGCT